GGAAGAAAAAAAAGGGGGGGGGGGCCGGGTGGGGCCGGCGGAGGGGGGGGGGGGGGGGTTTGGTGATGCCGGGGTCCCCCACACACCTGGCAAGTGTGACACGCCTCGCCCCGGTCCCAGCCACAGTCGGAGCCGCAGTGGCCCACGAAGGGGGGGTACCCGCTGAGCATGATGTAGAGGATGACACCCAGGCTCCACAGGTCACAGCGCTTGTCGTAGATGGAGGCCTCCTCGTTGAAGGCTTCCACCACCTCTGGGGCCATGTACTCAGCGGAGCCGCACTGCGGGGAGAGGTGGGGGTGAGCCCCGGTGTGGGGACACCAAAGGGTAGGGGACCAACGGAGCTGTGTTGGCCAGGGGGGGTTAGGGGAGACCCTGCACTGCCTGAAATCACAGACTGGTTTGGGTGGGAAGGGACCTCAAAGCCCCCCCAGTGCCACCCCCTGCCCTGGGCAGGGACACCTCCCACCACACCAGGTTGCTCCAAGCCCCCTCCAACCTGCCCTTGAACCCCTCCAGGGATGGGGCAGCCACAGCTTCTCTGCCCAACCTGGGCCAGGCTCTCCCCACCCTCACACCAAACAAGTTCTTCCCCACAGCTCAGCTCCATCTCCCCTCTTGCAGGCTCCATCCCTTCCCCCTCCTCCTAGGGCTCCCCTCCCTCATCCAGAGTCCCTCCCCAGCTTTCCTGGAGCCCCCCTTCTTTAGGGACTGGAAGGGGCTCCAAGGTCTCCCTGGAGCCTTCTCTTCTCCAGGCTGAACCCCCCAACTCTCTCAGCCCCCCCTCCCAGCAGAGGGGCTCCAGCCCTCCCAGCATCTCCGGGGCCTCCTCTGGCCCCGCTCTAACAGCTCCATGTCCTTCTGCTGTTGGGGACCCCAGGGGCAGACACCGCTGCTCCCCAGGTTTGCTCCTGGTGGGGCAGATCACCCCTGCTGGGGGGGTCCCCACCCCTGACCAGGGTCACCCAATGTGGGGACAGGAAGACGAGGAGGAGGAGGAAGACGAGGAGGAGGAGGAAGACGAGGAGGAGGAGGAAGAGGAAGAGGAAGAGGAAGAGGAGGGGGGGCTGCCACCCCCCAGGAAATAAAAAGCCTAAAGGGGTGCAACCCCCTCCCGGGCACCCCCGTGGGGCAGCACCGGTGAGACCAGACCCACACCCCAAAGCATCGTCACCACCACCCAACCAGCTCAGCATCCGCCCCATGGCCTGGGCACGGCCCCGAAGCACCGTGGGGCTGAGCCTGCCCCTGCCCTGCCCCTTCTCTGCCCCTTCCCTGCCCCACAGCGGGCGCAGGACCCGGCCCCGGAGGAGTTAAGGGTGATGGAGGGCGAGAGGCAGCGGCCGTTGCCCCATGGGACTCTGGGGTTTTCCAGCGCACGTGACCCACAGCCCACACGTGACCCACAGCCCACACGGGCCTCGTGACCAGCGCCGAGGAAAAAAAAAAAAAGAAAAAAAGAGCTGCAGCCAGCAGATAATCACCCCGGAACATAACGAGAGGCCTCCTAACGAGAGGCCTCGCCAGCCCCAGCAGCTGATGCCACCGCAGGAAAGAAAAAAATTAAAAAAAAAAAACCAAAAAGAAAACCAAAATAAAAAAAAAATGCTCAACATTGTACTGTGGAGAAGTATCTGCTTGTTTGGAACTAAGTATGGACACAGCACAGCTGGGTTTAGCTCTCATTGGATTTGTGAGACCTGGGTGAGGCTGTAGCTCTAATACTGTTTGTATTGGGT